GCCTGGTAGATCTCCTGTCTCCTGCGGACCCTCTGGCAGGCCAGCCTCTCGGACAGCAGGCGGGGGGTCTCCCCCAACAGGTCCAGCGCCGTGAAGCGGGGGGGGAAGAGTGTGGCCACCCAGTGGGGCTCCTTCCAGTCGCCGGTCGCCGCCCCCTCCTCCGAACCTGCTGCCGTCTCCATTCCTACTGGGGAAACCTGGCAGAGCACAAAACACACGATATAGATGCTCAGCCGTCCTCTGCGGGTCGCCACACCCAGATCAGAGATCAGAGATCAGATCTCTTTATTGGCCATATACAATTTCTTGCATTAGGAATTTGTCTTTTCGCAGACCCCTGAAGCGCTGAAAACTGCTCCATTCGCCTACTCAATGCCAAACTGTCTTGTCATAGAGAGGAAACGTTTTTCAACTTGTGGACACCATTCCATTCTCATGAGCTCTCTCATGAGCGTCAGAATAAAGACCCCGATAAGCCTGTGCAGTAGCCAGCTCTGTGATAGTTAAAACTATACAAAAAACAGTGCCTTGGTATTCCAGAAAGAGGAACCGAGCCGGCGCCCATCCCAGCAGGCCACAGGCGGAAGGCGGGGTACACACTGGATGGGACGCCAGTCCATTGCAGGGCAGACAGACACACACCAGAGTCAATTTTCCTACCAGCATGTCTTTGGACTGTGGCAGGAAACCCACTTGAACACGGGGAGAATACACTAACTCCATGCAAACAGCACCCCAGGAACCGAACCCAGGGCCCCAGCGCTCTGAGGCAGCAATGTGAACAAATGCACCACCGTGCCGCCCGAGCAACTTGCATTTACACCCACGCATGCAGGCGCAAAGGTTCCCATTTATACAGCTGGGTATGTTATCAGATTGTTTCTGGTGGCTACAAGCAAGGGCACAACTCCAGGGTACCACTGCAACGCCCCACTCAGGAGCTGAACACTCAGCCATCTAGTTACAAGTCTCGAACCCTGACCAGACACAGGAGAGGCAACGGGGAGACACCAGTTCCCCAGGACAAAATGTCACAGAGCTCTGAGAGGAAACCAGAGAAATTGCAAACTCCATCCAGAGCCAGACCAGAGATCCAAGGGGTCACCCACAGTGTTTAGCACCCCAGTTTAGCAGCTGAGGGAGAACAAAACAAAAATATAAAATATCCACGGAGCACGTTTCCGGTTACCGAATGGTTCCGAGACGCCTTCCTCAACTTCTTAACGAATCACGTGTCTCAACGTCGTGGCTGTTTCGTGTTTAAGCATGAAGAAAGTTAAAGCCACACACGTTCATACAGAGCAATCTTAAGTCGCAGAGTGGTTCATAAAACACGAAACACGTTATTTAGCAAAAAAGAAGAGTCATAATCTGCAAGACACACACCTCAGGGCCCTATTAGGAATTATGTGTTTTCAAGCATCTTCATCCCGCACACATCACCGGAGAGATTCTACAATTAAATCAATTAAAGGTGTACAATTTTTAAAATCTAAAGATGTAACAATAATAAAATGATTTCATATTTGGTTAACCATAACTGTTTGCAGAATATATTTCTATGCAATTATCATAATAATTCGCAGAGTGATTCATAGCGCACGAAATCAATTATTTAGCAAAAAACACAAACCGAATTACAATTTCCGAAGAAACTGTATCCATAGAGACCTGTGAACACAAATAGGATATGACGTAGTACACAGAAACAAACCAGTATCACCATAGACTGTAGGAATTTAAACTAGATGAGATGGTTGTATTCTGGGATAGAAAGTCTGACCTGAGAAATTCCATGCAGATTAATGTAGAATAAAAATACAGTATGCAAATAAATTCTATATACTTTACCAACACACTTGGCCCTGTAGATTGGATTAATTTCTGCCATTGTATTTATAAATTGAACTACCTCAAATACATATCGCTCCATGATATAGCGGCTCTGTAACATTAAGAACTCTTACGCTGGTGTTATTAACGTTCGGTGTGTTGTTTGCCTAAAAGTGAAGTTCTGCTAATTGTGAAGCGCTGAGAGTTGCTGTAGTTCTGTGTGATTAAAAGAAGTATCAGTTATACTTGACGTCTGGCCTGCCTTGTACCTCCTTGTTAAAGCCACAAAGGGACGGTGTTATAATATTACATCGTCCGTATAATAGATATGTTTCCCCCCGTTTTGGATGCGCGAGTGCTGTGATGTTATAATTAAAACTTGCTATAAAACCAATTCGAGGTGAAAGAAATTTAGAGGTAATTTAGAGGTGATTTAAACGTGATACTCTATCACTTTTAAATTGAATGTTATGCGATGTGATAGCTGTATACTTTTTATATGACTTATTTTTTTTTTTACAAAAAAAAACGCTTTTATAAATACGTGTGTATATAATTAGACATGTGCTTGCTGTTCATTCTGTGTCGCGGACCTCGTGTCTCGCGCCACGCAGCCCCTGGCAGGTGGAGCGCGGAGCCCCAGAGCGTCTCGCGCTGCACCCGGACTCCCCGTGACGCAGGGGCAGGTGGCGGGAAGGCGGGATTTCAAACAAGGTTTTTTTTTTCTGCGAAGGACTGACCGGATATGGAGGACAAATTCACCCTTTGTTTCAATGAAAAAGGACAGAAGAAAATGCTCACTTATTTATAGATGGTAGGCATATACCAAGATGTTTAAGCTGTTAAAAACGAGTAAAAAAAATGACTTTACCAGGAGAGGATGTCAATAGAGAGCCACTATATATTAAAATGTATGGTTTTGCAACGTGATTTTTAATCACAAGAAGGTTTTAAACAGTGAGGCTTATATTGTAAGAGTCTTACAAGAACGTGCAACTAACAAAATATAAATCATGAAATATATGAAAATATATCGTTTTGGCTCATAACAAATCTTAAAACAAATCAACGCATTTTAAACTTCAGCAATGCAAATTGTATTCGTTGTGTTATCATTTCAGTGATAATTGTAATTAAGTTTTCTTAATCCTATGTTTGTGTTGTAATTGGCGATTACTGGTCTTTTTTTTTTGTCTTTGTATTTTCTTATCAGCGTACAAACGCATTTATTTTACAAATGACAACCGAGTTGTTTCTGTTGGTGTACCCTGGAAATATTTTAATTAAGAGGTAATTAAAGGAGATCTGAAGGGCAATTCTTTTACATTCCTAACTCTGAGCAGTTGCACTCATCAAGGTGTTCAACAAAAAACAACGATCGCTTCAGTTTAACTCTCTTCGAGACACATTTTTGAGGATAATTTTAGAAGTGTTTTGCATCGATTACGCTATTGCTATAAAACATATTGCAATTTCAATGGAAAACAGTTTCACATTATTTCACAATTTTAGTTCCTTTTATCCCATTTTTAAACAAGTGCAATTATTTATCACCTTGCTCTAGTCGTATTTTTCATCAGATGAATCCTGTCCTGAAAACTCCCTCTCTCTCATCCCACTTTTCTGCTTTCATCTGCCTAAAGTACTGCTATTAGTCTGAATATAACCTGCTTTCATGTCTTTGCGCTGTTCTAATAAACGGTCTCCCTGAGACTATAGGAGCCTCGCTGTCAGCCCATCTTGCTTTCAGGAAGATCTGCTATGACACGTGTGTACGACTGGAACTGGCTGGGATCAGGATTAGGGATGGAGTGAGGGTTAGGAACAGACGTAGGAAGAGGCTAAAGTTGAGTTCGGGACTCGGAACACTTCAAAACCCTTGAGTATATACGAGTACATTAATTCCAGCAGACAACAATCCAAAGAGACTAACTAAGCCTATGGACTGATTGACAGTATGTCTCCTCTCACATGTATGTCTAAATTAAAAGATGACCGGAAATGACAGCAGCACAATATACAAACTATTACCAGTGTGCATTTATTTTTATTAGCAATTGTTTTACTTAATAATTATGAGGGGTGAATGAAACCATGAAGTGTTTGGAAGGCCCCAAGCCTATAGGAAGAAGGAAGCATCACAGGTCTTCTATGGATGTTGTCATTTTGTAGGCTGTAACTCACACAGCTGCAGGTCACTGTTTTTCCTCACTGCTTGTGTTACTTACTTGTGTTGAGTTTTCCAAAGCCTCTGTTGCCTCTCATCTTCCAGAATCACCGAGTCTTTCCAGATCCAGGCTACAGGCGAGTCCGTCTTTCTGTTTCTTCTAACAGATCTTAACCGTTAGACACAAGTCTCACCAGTCTTGGCCGCTCGCAGTAGCAGAAATCTGATTGGCTACAAGGTCATACCACGTCGCTGGGAATCTCTGCACCCCCTATCCTTGCATTATCCCTGTGGGGCTCTCTGCCTGGGCTCAGACCCATGCTACTGGCTCTACAGGGGGGCAGGGGGGCAGGGGAGACGGTGCCAGCTCAGAGTGCGTCTGCTGACGCCATCAGACCCCCAGTGCGCCGTCCTGTGACAGAAGCTCAGAGAACTGGACGCACACACGTGGGGTGGGGCGGAGGGAACCGTCGCATTGTCTTGCTCGCGTTTTGTTCAGGGGAATTTCGTCCCTCAAAAAAGTCGGTTTGCATAAAAAAATAAAAATACAATTTAACACAAATGCCTGCCCCCGTGACGACTGAAAGCTGCTCCATTCACCTACTCAATGCCACACTGCCTTGTCATAGAGAGGAAACGTTTTTCAACTTGTGGACACCATTCCATTCTCATGAGCTCTCTCATGAGCGTCAGAATAAAGACCCCAATAAGCCAATGCAGTAGCCAGCCCTGTGATAGTTAAACTATACAAAAAATAGTGCCTTTGTATTCCATATAAAAGATACATCTGTTGGTCAGTTACTTGTGTGCTGTAATAAACTCTTATTCCCATGAACTGGATAAGAACACTTTGGAAGCTATTGGCAAGAACTGGAAACATGCCCACTGTGAACTTTAGGGGCTGAATGCCTGATTATACAGGAAAACTTGGAATGTTTTCTTGAATTCCCAGATAAATTGTAATTTGTCACCACGCGTATCGTTCATTAATACGCTTTCTGACGATTACAGAGTAATGTCTTGTGATTTGCTGGGCTACAGGTTATTATGTTAAGACTTCAAACTTCTCCAGTAATTGTACAACCGTTTACCAGATAACTACAAAAGTATTTTGAAAAACACAGCGTTAGGTGGGGCCAAAATCCAAAGATATAAAAAAATACATGTGTTCAGTTTTCTTTGGGCTTTCTGGACCTAAATTTGTGTTTTCAATGTTTTATTTTCCAAATGAAAAAACAACTATT